TTCTGCTAAACATAGTGAGGACTGATGGAAATAAGAATAGCAACTGTATATGTAAAAAAGTAGGAATGTGTAAAAAAAGAGAGAAGAAAGGAAATACATTTTTTGTTGCAGGTAAAAGAAAATAGTTTTGTCCTAAATGAGACTGGTTTGGAGAAAAATGGCTTGGGGAAAAATCTGAATGAAACAGAAAGTTGTAGAAGGTTCATGAAGGGAAATCTTTGGAAAGGAATTTTACGTGTGGTTGGATAGACTAAGTTGCAAAGAATGGATTTTTATTTATTTTATTTTTTTTAATGTTTATTTATTTTTGAGACAGAGAGAGACAGAGTGCAAGTGGGGGAGGGGCAGAGAGGGAGACACAGAATCTGAAACAGGCTCCAGGCTCTGAGCGGTCAGCACAGAGCCCGACGCGGGGCTCAAACCCACGGACTGTGAGATCATGACCTGAGCCGAAGTCGGACGCTCAACCTACTGAGCCACCCAGGCGCCCCAAGAATGGATTTTTAAAAGTACACTTGTATAAGGTTGAAATTCTGCTTTTCTCTCTGTTAAAAGACAATTTTTTTTTGATTGTTAGGCTCTTGATAAAATAATGTACAAAGGATTGTTTTCTCTTTTGACTTCTGGGAAAACGACAGCTTTAGGTTATGTCTTTATCAGGTCTTTGACCACTTAGTTAAAACTTCTCACTGTTAAAGGACCTAGGTTTTGCTAACAACAATATAACCCTACATATTTGCTTTTGGAATCTCTTATTGCCATCTTGGTTAAATAAATACTTTAAAGTGTTAAGATTTATAATGATCGGGGGCGCCTGGGTGGCGCAGTCGGTTAAGCGTCCGACTTCAGCCAGGTCACGATCTCACGGTCCGTGAGTTCGAGCCCCGCGTCAGGCTCTGGGCTGATGGCTCGGAGACTGGAGCCTGTTTCCGATTCTGTGTCTCCCTCTCTCTCTGCCCCTCCCCCGTTCATGCTCTGTCTCTCTCTGTCCCAAAAATAAATAAACGTTGAAAAAAAAAATTAAAAAAAAAAAAGATTTATAATGATCGGAATCCCATTTCAGATGTGCTCTATCACTTTCTAAGGTTTAACAAACGACCCAGGATTTCAATTGTAAAGAAAGTCTTTTTGATCAAGGAGGACTTTTTATTCGGTATGTTAAGTGAAGACCCTGTTAAATCGTCATAAACCTTAGGTGATATTGTTTGGGTAAATGCTGGAACTGTCAAATGTATGTGCAATTCCTAAATCTCTAAATGAATATGCAAAACATATCCTTCTTAAACCTGATCTGACAGTTACTAGAATCCCAACCCATATAAACCCCAAACACCTGGTTTATTTAAAGATTTAAAGTCCAATACAACAGGGGATTTAACTCCAAAATGAAAGAGCCCCTACTGGGTCATATCATGTACTTCTACTGCAAAAAAATTTAGAGGGGCACACTTCATGTGCTCTTATATCTAAAATAAAACCTGTACCCTCTACAGGGGAAATCAATGAGCAAACTAATGTGCCTTTTTATTCCTGTGAACCTGTGGAAAATCTCAAACTTCTCTTAGGATGGTTGTACCTTTCTTTTTCATCTTCCTTTCTCAATTTCTACTAACAGTTCCTTCTTACAATGGGCCTTTCACAAGGATCACCACAGACATTTGAGCTACAAACCAGAAAGATCAATCTGATTTCTACTGCCTGCTCCCATAAGCATTCAAACCTAACATGTAAAGTTCATTCTGGCAGCACTGGGAGACACTGGGTTTGTAATCTGCTCTAAGCATTAACCTGCATTTTTCTTGTTTCTATAAAAGTATCTCTTATTAATTACCTGCTGGCTTACTAAACAAAACTAATACACCACCTGTTACACAGTTAAGGCCTTAAATGACTCTCAAAATAACATTATATTACTAAACACTAAAATAACACAAATGGATAAAACATTTCTACAAAACACACAGAATGGTGTTAGATGTTTTAAGTGCTGCACAAAGTGGAACTTATATTCTCATAAGAACAAAACGGTGTGTATAAATTCTGGAGTACTTCAAAAATATTTCTGGATTTTTAACTAACATGAATACTCAAACTGTTGCATTAAATAACCCCTCTTTTTCCTTTAGTGATTGGTTGAACTCTTGGGCTGGAGGATTTTTGTTAGCTACCAAAGGACTTTTCATTTGAGCTAAGCTTTCTAGTTATTCTACTTATGTTTTGCTGTTTTCTCCCATGTCTCTCTGCCTGGTACCAAGACTCCATCACTACAATAACTTCAAGCCAAGAGATGATCCTTTCTACTCACCTTAATTACCATTTTTGTTCTCTGACAGGCCAATACTGACCCATAGGTATGGATGACTCTATGCCCCCACTCAGCAGGAAGAAGCTACAAAAAATGAGACCTTCTACCTTCAACAACCTTAAATATTTAAGGGACAAAATTGCTCAGGGGGGATATAATGAGGAAGTGTGGGGCAAGCTGAGGGCAAAACAGGCTGGCACATCCTCCTCTACCACCACCCCAAGTAGAATATGTGTGATATTCAAAGACTTCTGAGGGCTTAAGAACAGAGAAAAGGTGTTTAAGTGCTTGCCATGGTGATGGGGGAGTAAGACAAATGAAAAATTATATGCCTTTACTGCATTTACAAGTCCTTGAAACCAGCAGAGTGACCTCCCTCTAGGATCTCAGCTGCTTCGATGATGACACTTTGCTAGGGGCAAAGAGAACCTTAGCTCAACGTTATCCCAACCTTGAGCGTCCTGTAAGTCTACTTCCTTCTCTCAACTGCCCCAAGATATATGCTGGCAATCATATTCCAAGCTTATGGCCCCTGATATGCATCTGAAGAGTCTCATGATTGAAATTTTATTCAATGGTGATAAGTGGCATTTGCTACCAACAGTGAGCCCCCTCAAATTCCTGGAAACCTTGCTTCCAAAATACCTTAGAGACTTACTCTATTCCTGACCCCCTTCCAACCTAAGGGTATATAATCAGTTAAACATCACAACCCCAATGCAGGTCTTCCTGCCCATTGGTCCTGTCCTTGTGCTTTAACAAAATCAATTTTTTTCCCACCAACAACGTCTTCCATAAATCTTTCTTGGCCGTCGGCTCAGGACCACCCCACCAACACCCCAAAACTTCATCAGTATACATTCTAGACTATCGCACAAATATTTCTGGATTTCTAAATTACCAGAATACTCAAATTGGTGCTTTAAAGAATTCCTCCTGTTCCTTTCATGATTGGTTAAAATCCTGGACTTGAGGATTTCCATCAATTACCAAAGGGCATTTATTTGGGCTGTTCTTGTTATTCTAATTACATTTGGCTGTTTTCTCCCCTGTCTCTCTGCCTGGTGACAAGACTCCATCACTACAATACCTTCAAGCCAACAAATGATCTTTTCTACTCAAGGAGGTTCATATTCATTGTCCATCTTAGACCCAACTGTCTCTGCCTCCTGTAACTCTTCTATATGTTCCCCAACTGATCAATATTGACTCATAGGTAGGGACATCTCTATTCCCTTACTGAGCAAGAAGAAGCTACAAAAGATGAAACCTTCCACCTCCAACTACCTTAAAGATGTAAGGGTCAGAATTGTTTATGGGGGATATGATGAGGGAGCATAAGGCAAGCTGAGGGCAAAGTACAAGCTAGCATTACCCCTCCCCCCCCCCCAGGTGGGATGTGTGTGACATTCCTCAGGCACTCCTGGCTGCCCAAGAACAAAGGAAAGGAAAGAAAACAAATGGTTAACTGATAGAGATCCCAGTCATGTAGGAAATGACTCCCCATCAGTTTACAAATATCTTAGTAAATTATAAGAAACAGGCAATCTTATCAATAGTCTAACAACAGGAAACCTATAGACTCAGTTTCTTGGAGTCCCAACATCACCCCTCATAGTATTTTGGGGGAAGAAAGGCAAGAAGGAAATGTCAGGTAACATTAAATTTCCTGATACCCTGCAGCCTATTGACAAATACTTGAGGCTGGCAGAGAAGAACATTTCACCAGGAACTCCCTACTGTCTTAATATTGATGTTTGCTAGAGGGAAAAAACCTCAGCTTGACAATAGCTAGGCCTCCAGTATTCTGTAAATCTTCTTTATCATATGAAAATCTCCAAAAACTTCCCTTGACTTTACCTCCTCCAAAGCCAGAGTATATAACCAGACACTCTTCACAACCCCAGAGCAGTTCTTTCTGCCCATGGGTCCTGCCCTTTACTTTAATAAAATCACTTTTTTGCACCAAAACATCTTTAAGAATTATTTCTCTGTCCTTGGCTCCAGACCCTGCACCATAGCCCTAAAACTTCATCACTGGTGAAGTGGGGGTGACAGCACCTTGACCCCCAACCCTCTCCAGCTGCCTGGCCCTGGCTGGGCCTTTGCCATTGGGTTTGCTGCAGATGGCTGGATGTGAGTGTGAGATGTGTCCCCTCAGTATGCTAGGAGGCAGGGGCAAGTGAGGGCAGCTGCTGGTCTGGGGCTGGTCCTGGAGTTGGGAGCTAGAAGTATTCAGTCAGAGCTGGCGACTGCTTCTGTGGCCTCCATCCCTTGCTGGGGACCACATTTCCTTCCTAGTAGGAGCCTGCCCTTTGATTTTTTCCTTCTCAGAGAGCCCAGAGGTCAAAGAGCACAGACTGAGGACCAGGGGACATGTGTTTATTTAGCAAGAAGGGAGGGGGTTCATGAGCAGGTCAGCCTGGGGAGCAGCTGGTGGGCTGTGCATTGAGAAGGGTCTCCTGGCTCTCTCAGTGGTGTCCAGGTTGGTGGTGACAGCTGGGCGCTGCCCTGGGCAGAGGTCAACGTGAAGAGGATGTGGTGGAGAGAGCCAGAGGGCACCAGAGAGGGAGTCAGGGCAATAAAGAGGACAGCAGTGCTGGGAAGGTTGGACAAAGGCAGACCTGGGACCCCCTCCCAGATGCACCCTGGCTCCCATCAGCCCCCACTCCAACCATACTTACCACACACTTGCTCACTCATCCATGCACTCATCTGTGTGGGACAGAGTGGTCAGCATGGGCAGGGGTGTGTGTGGGATCCCTGACCTCCAGGACCCCTGCACTGCCCCTGGGCTACCCTGGGCCTCAGCCTGGTCCAGCCACAGAAGCTCTGGGGGTTCCCTTTGTGGATGGTACAGCAGAAGGCTGGATGATGGAGCAGGGACTGGGGGAGAGGCCTGAGGACAAGCAGACCTGGGTGACACCCGTTCTTCAAAGGAGGAAGGTGAGGCCCAGTCAAGTTCCTGCTTGGGCACCAAGCCTTCTGCCTGTTTACCTGCTGAGTCCTGACAGACCTTCAGGCTTTGGGAGGCACCTGCCCAGGCCAGGCAGCCTGAAGACAAGGGCACCTCCTAGGTCAGTGGTGAGCCAGTCCCAAGGCAAAGGGGGAGGTGGCCAGGCAAGGAGACTGAGGAAGCTTTGCCCCATGCCTGCAATTCTCATGTGGGCAGGCCTGAGCTAGGGTGAGGGAGGAACACTAGGGGCCCAGAACCCTGATTGTGGCAGCGTCTCCCTGAAACCAAAGTGGATCCTGAGACTCCAGTGACCATGGCAGGGGTCTGCATCCCTCCTCTCCCCCCTTCCATCGTGAGGCAACATCAGGCCTGGACAGTTCCCATACGGCCCTCTCCTCTCTCCACCTGGTGATTACCAATGGGGATAGCGAAGATTATGTGGTGATCTGTGAGGCCCAACGATTTGGCGAAGGTGATGAAGTTTTCCTTCAGCTCAGGGGTCAGCATCTTGGTCCTCCCTGTGGCCAGGATGGCTGGTGAATGGCTGGTGAAAGCTCCATAAATATTGTGGAACCCATGAACGATGCCTCAGACCCCTTCCTCCTGAGGGGTTCTGTGGAAAGACCCCTCTCCTGCCTCCCAGATCTGGGGTGAAGGGCACATTGGGGGCTGGGTGTCACGGGCTTCTTCTCCTCCAACATGACCAAGATCCTGGTTCCAGGAGGGGCAAGACTCACCATAAAGGGTGATCTTGAAGTACTCCTGGTGTTTGTAAATCTTCTTGAAGAACACCATGGCAAACTGGACGTAGTCTGTGGCTGCCACTCGTAAAATGTACCTCTGGATTCCAGTGTATCCTGTATGGTGGATGGTGAGATCTCAGTCTGCCCTAACTGGGCAGAGGGAGCTATTGATTCTTCTCCCGTCTCCACAGGATTGTTTCTGTGTGGGGTGACAGGGAGGTTCATGCCCCTGAGGACCCACCCCATTCAGGACTCACGCTCAATGTTGCCCAGGGTGAATTGGCCTCGCCACAAAGTTGGGATGAAAGTTCTGAGCCAGTGGTCACAGGTCTGGTTCCTGTGGAAGCAAAATATGGGTGGGTGAGAGGGTGATAGCCCACCCTCACACAGCAGTAGGCTTGCACCCCACCCCAGAGATGTGCCTGGCTGTTCCCCACTGACCCATCCCTGCCTGTCCTTGACTACTGTGCTCTTACCCACCTGACCTGCTCAGACTCTCCCTCCACACCTCCTGTCCTTCCTTCTTCGGAGCTGTTTCCCCTTGGTAGCCTTCCCACCATACTGTCCCTGCCAACCAAGGCATTTGTCCCCTATTCTTCTTT